CTGGGGCCAAACGTGACATGCCTTCCAGACTCAATGGGAGGCTTGCATGTTCCACACTCTACGATCCCCCCGTGGCTCGAGCCTGCTGCCGGCCCATGTCCTGCAATGCTCCTGCAGCCCTCGGTTTGCCAGCCCAGCCAAGCTCATCTCAAAGTCTCCTTCAAGAAGGCAATAAAACAAAGTTCCAGGTTTTCCCTGCAGCTGCACGTCTCTCCCTCCCCCTGTCCCCTGCGGAGGCTTCTTCTTGCTCAGGAAGGAAACTGTCGCACAACGTTGCCGACGTGACTCAGGGAAGAGCAGAGGGCAGCCGCAGCCCTGAGGCCTCGGGGCCAACGCCTCCCCCACGGCCCAGCCCGCCCTCGCTGCCCTGCCCCTCCCAGCCCTCAAGCGCCGTTACCTTCGGTACGACTCACGGTCTCCAGCAAGAGGTGGTAGTCGTGAACCTTCTCCTTGTGGTGCTTGAACTCCCTCCACAGCTTCTCCAGCTCCTCCGCAGAGAACTTCTCTGAGGCCTTGGCCTGGATGGAAAGAAGACCCACCGGGGATGAGGGGTGGCCCAGGAGACAGGGCTCTGGCTCCCCCCTGTACAGAGCCCCACACTCCGTTTCACAGTTGGGCAGAAGTCCGTATCTGGAAAGAGACAGACTAGAATGTGGGATGCGCACGCTTCACTTGAACACTGTGTGGTCAGATGCCAAGCACCATGCTAGGATTTCAGATACAACCATCAGGAACACTCTGCCTATGCACCTGATATATAAACCTGATATGTTCCTTCTGATAAAAGGAAGTCCTTCTTCACCCAAAGAGTGATTCACGCACGGAATTCACTGCCCCAGGAGGGTGGTGGCGGCTACAAGCATGGACAGCTTCAAGAGGGAACTGGATAAGCATATGGAGCAGAGGTCCACCAGTGGCCCCTATTAGCCACAAGGTATAGACAGGAACTCTCGGTCTGGGGCAAGGGGGATGCTCTGTGTTCTTGGTGCTTGGGGGGAGCAACAGTGGGAGGGCTCCTAGTGTCCTGGCCCCACTGGTGGACCTCCTGATGGCACCTGGTATTTCTGGCCACTGTGTGACGCAGAGTGTTGGACTGGATGGGCCACTGGCCTGATCCAACATGGGCTTCTCTGATGTTCTTATAAGAGGGGATTAGATAAGCATATGGAGCAGAAGTCCATCAGTGGCTATGAGCCACAAGGTATAGACAGGAACTCTCAGGGTGGGGCAAGTGATGCTCTGTATTTTTGGTGCCTGGGGGAGGGGGCAACAGTGGGAGGGCTTCTGGTGTCCTGGCCCCACTGGTGGACCTCCTGATGGCCCCTGGTATTTCTGGCCACTGTGTGACGTGATAGAGAGTGTTGGACTGGAGGGGCCACTGGCCTGATCCAACATGGTTCTTGTGCTTCTCCCTTGGCCTATGGGGGTGGTGGTGGGAGTGTCATGTGCAGAATACAGGCAAAGGGCAGCCACAGGCATGCTGGAGTAACAGGAAGCATAGCTGAGTTCTGGAATCCAGACCAGGGGAAGCAGCTGCCAGACGTGATGGAGAGGGGCTTCCCCCGAGGACTCCCTCCCTCCCTCCCTCCCTCCCTCCCACCCACCTTGCTCCACAGCTTCTCCAGTCGGGGGTCATCCAGCACGTCATTCTCCAGACCACCCTTGATGTAGTTGGTGTCCCCCAGCTGAGCATCCTTCTTCCCGTCCAGGCCGTACTTCGCCATAATTACTGCAGGGGGGGAAATAAGCAACAGAAAGCTCTGCGCCCTGGCCCACAACTCTGCCTGCAAAACATTCCCCAAGAGCCCTTCTGGGCCTCTACGGCAGAAGGCGGCCCATCTGTGAGTTCCTGGCTGGTTCCCAGCTGACCGCTTTGTACCGACTGCTGGTGGACTGCAGAGGTTCTAACAAGGGGGGCGGACAAGCAGACCACACGCCAAGTCAGCCCCCCACCCCACTTCAGTCCTTGCTTAAAAACGTCTCTGGGCACTGCAATTCCTGGTACACGTAGTGGGAAACACCTGCTGCTGTCCTGCTGCTCTCAGACAAGCCTCTGCCTGGCCAGCGGAGGGTAAAAGGCGGGCAAGGAGCGTGAAGGAGACCCCAGCGCCCTGTGCCCAACCGACACACTGTCCAAAGCCACCCCTGGAGGACCAGTGGAAGGTCTTTCATCCCAAAAGCCGATCAAAGACGGCACAAGGCCTGGGAGTCAACGTCTGGAACCAGAGAGGAATGCTAACAGGCCAATGAACAGGAACGCCGTGTGTCGTCAGCAGCAGCAGCTCAGAGGGGGAACTCCTCCGCTGGCAACAAAAGGATCCAAGTGAATGACAGCTGCTCCCACAGGGCCCCGGCGCAACAAGCAAGGAGGTCGCTGTGATGTAACACAGGTAGTGTCTGTACACAGAGCCCTAAAATGTTGTGAATGGTGCATGCAGGCCAAGAGGCCAGCTGGGAGGGGAAACACATGTGAGAGAGAAGTGGAGGGACTTCGAGACACAGACTGAGAGAAAGCCAAGCTGGGAGTGGAGTGTTTGGATCGGTGAAAGGAAGTGACGGAAAGAGGGAGGAGCTACAGACGCCCCCACGCCCACGTAGAACGGACAGGCTGAGGAGTGAAAAGGAGAACTAGGTTGGGATTTTGCAGAAGTAGGCAGCCTGTGAGTGGCTGGGCTAGACAGGCCAGAATCTGTAAAATGAGGAAGGCAGAAAAGGAAGACATTGCAGACAGGATTTGAAAGGGACAGACTTAATTTGTATTTTTCAAGTACTGGGCTGGAAGCTGAGAAAAGTGACAAAATATCCCGCACTCTTATGTTACTAAAAAGAAAGTTGTTTTAATGCAGCTTATTTTGTCAGTATTGTGTCCTCCTCAACAGTTCTTCCCCTAAGACTACGCCCTCATGCTACGCGGTCCTAGCTGCCAGAACAGGGGGTTTAAATGAGTGGGGGTCCAGAGGGAGCACAGTTTGCTGTTCCTGTTCCTGCCTTAGGAAAGCACATTGCCCCTCCGGTCCCAGAGATCTGAGAAGTCCTACAAACTGTGAGAGCCAGTTTGGTGTCGTGGTTAAGTGCGCGGACTCTAATCTGGGAGAACCGGGTTTGATTCCCCACTCCTCCACCTGCACCTGGCTGGATGACCTTGGGTCAGTCACAAGCTCTGGCACAGCTGTTCCAGAAAGTTCTCTCAGCCCCACCCATCTCCCAGGGTGTCTGTCTGTTGTGGGGAGGAGGAGGGGAAGGAGCTTGTAAGCCGCTCTGAGACACCTTTGGGTAGTGAAGGGCCATGGGGTATACATCCAATCTCTTCTTCTTCTACACGGGGGGGAGCAGGGTGTGACATTAAGTGCGAGTGAGGGACAGGCCACGCAAGCCACAGTCTTGTCAATCAAACTGAAGCGGAATCCAGACCAAGACCAGAGGCCGGGCTGGTGGGGAAGGCCGATGTTCCAGAGGGACCGAGCCCGCTTGCCCTTGGTGGGGAGGCACAGCAGGTGACCCACTTGGAGGTGCTCAGGGACCCTGCCGGGCGCTTTGAGAGGCAGGCTGGCCTCGTGGCCAGAAGTGCCTTTTCTCTGCTGCATCTGAGTGGCCCACTCTCTCGTCATTGATACTCTGCCTGTCTGACTCAGGAGGGGCAGCCGTGTTGTTCTGCCAGTCCGGCCCCACTGACCTTATTTACTGATTCATAATTATTTCCAGTCCGCCTTTCTCACGTGGATTCAAGGCGCACCCTACAGCGTGAGACAGCACAGTCCACGGCATGGGGGATTCAGTAGCTAACGCACAGGGGAGATGGAGACGGGTGCCCGTGTCAGCCTGTGCGTAGTAGAGGCAGAGAGCTTTTCTACCGGGCAGGAGCTCACTTCTTCGGATCCCTGAAGACACAGTGTGAGCAGTGACTCACGGAAGCTCCTGCCCTGCCGCGTATTTTGTTAGTCCTGAGGGAGTTCTTGGACTCTTGCTCTTTCCTGCTACTAACACATGAGGGGGTTAGGAGCCTGGAGCCCCTGGAAAGGGCAGGGGCAGAGCAGAAGTCTTGTCGCGGCAGCCTAAGGGGTACCCCACAGTCGGCCTCCCTGCTTGCCCGGGCTTCCGAGGGGGGGGGGGGCTCGATGGCAGGCGTCTTTTGCGGAGGAAGAGACTTGGGGGCTTGCTATCTTAATCTTTGGTTTCAGCTGGGGATGTTTTCATTATTGCAAGCCACCTCGTACCAAGAGGGAGGGGACACACACACACACACGTTCCAATGAATAAATAAAACAATCACCACAACGTGGTAGCCAAAGGTTTTTGGGGAAACGTGCTCTCTAGGAGTCTGAAGGAGTAACTGGCCTGCCAAAAATGCTCCTGGACTCTCTGGCTCTTTCCTGCTGCTGCAGACAGACTGACTGACCCGGCTGCCCCTCTGGACCTCTGCTCTCTATGGCTGCCCTTTTCCTTACTTACCGTGCAGGCTGCGCCGGAGTCTGGCTTCTTTCTCCCCATCTTCGTCCAGCCCTTCGGCCTTCAGTTTCTTCCAACTCAGCTCATCCTTCTCTTGAATCTTGAGGTCGCTGTGCAGCTCGGCCAGTTTCACAGCAGAGAGATGGAGCTGCTCGGGCAGAGGAAAAGACCCCGTGAGTCACCCTGGGAGTCCGGTGGCATTCAAGCCCTCTGAGCTCCTGCCGCAAAGCGAGCCCATCGGGGCCAGGGAGGAAGGAGCCGGGGAGCCAGAAGCACTTCAGTGGGGCCAGCACTGGGAGAGGAGGGGGCAACGGCCAGAGGCAGCCTCACGCCACAGAAGGGGCGCTTTCCTCACAGGACAATTTCTCGGACACGGACACAAATCCGCACGGCTGGCTGGAGTGGTCACACCCTGCAGGCGCCTCTGTGGGGAGAGGGGAGCTACCCATCCATCACTGCCTGCCTCTGCGTAGCAACCCTGGGCTTCCTCGGTGGTCTCCCACCCAAGTATTAGCCAGGGCCAGTCCTATGGAGCTTCCAAGATCCGATGAGCCTGGGCTAGCCTCTGGGCTATATCTCGGTCAAGGCTTTTGATTTATTGTTTCACATTAATTGGACTGGAAACTGCCTTGAGCAGGACTCTGAAAAGGCAAGCAAGGGATGTGTCCTAAGTAAACTAACCCCCTCCCCTGACTTCTGGAATTGTGTCCTGCTTCGCTCCCAGCTTTCCTGGATTAACGGGCCCACAAAGAAGACTTCCGCTCCCTGTTTGTCCTTCAACAGCACAAGCAGCTTTCTCCAGATCAGCAATTCATTCCTGTTTCTAGCACGCACACAGCTTCTTTGTTCTCTGATCTCCACTAGGACGCGAGACCAACGGCCAGGACCCCATTGCCCCAGCGACCAACTGACTGTCGCTCCAGGACCAAGAAGACAGCTTCTAAGGGTCACAGAAGCGACGCAGCCCCTCCCACGCTGTGCATTCCACCCAGGCACGCTGCTAAGGCCACCCATTTCAAACACAAAAAGGTCTTCCGTCTCAAGGAACACCATAACTTGGACCTTTGGCTGCCCCACAGGGACTGGCAGCGCAGCTCGGCAGGCGAGGAAAAATCTGGAAGCCGGACTACCACAGAACCTCAGCCCCAAGTCTGCCAAATGCTTCCCTTTCTTCCCCACTTACATGCAGCCCATGCAGCAGAAGTAGAACAGGCCTGCCTTCTCACGTTGGGGCCTCCCAAAAACGACCCTACCCCGCTCTGTGGAACAGGGTTAACCAGGGTTCCCCTTCGGGGCTTTAAAAAGTGGGTGTGAGCCCACGTCTGTACGGGCACTACAGCTTCACCTCTGCCTTCAGCGCTGCCCAGGGTTGGGCTGATGGGCAAACGGCAGTCCCTGGCTTCCCAATACTCATGACGGTGGGTTTAGGGCTCTTTTTACGGCCAGTTCCCATCCTCTGTGTTTTGTCTCGGACTTCTCCCACCAGTGGTGTCTTGCCAATGATCTCACTGCATGCAGGCCCGCTGGATCACACACGTGTGCCTTGCTTAGTGAGGGCCAGGCGACATCACATCGGCCAGACAACTGAGCAGCCGGCAGAGGCAGAAAGAGAAGCCTGCGTGAACCACCTCAGGGTCCCCAGGTCCAAAGTCCAGCCGGCGACAAGATTAGTGGGCCAGCAATGAGGGAAAACACATTAACATCAACATCTCCGGCAGTTTAAACTTTAACATTCGGCCGTGCATCAGAGTAAGGCCAGCCAGCAGTGCTGTGCGTCCCGAGTCAGGAGACGTGACCGGAGGCGGAGGCCTGCGCTCAGAACTGAGGCCGTCTCCTCCCACCCACACTTACACACCCGGCAACTTGGAAGTAGGTTTAACGTATGTAATGGACCTTACCTACACACGTTTGTTTGTCTGCACTGGTTTCTTGAATGTAATGTTCCTTTTGTAATACTTCTTTTTGGCATATAGAACTGCATAACTGTTAGTAATTGTATTATTATTATTTTATTATTATTATTATTAGAAGAGAAGAAGAGATTGGATTTATACCCTGCCCTTCACTACCCAGGAGTCTCAGGGTAGCTTACAAACTCCTTCCCCTCCCCCTCCCCACCACAGACAGACACCCTGTGAGGTGGGCGGGGCTGAGAGAGCTCGGGCAGAAACGGCTCTTTTTTCCAAGAGCAGCTCTGAGAGAACTTGTGACTGACCCAGGGTCACACCAGCAGCTGCAAGCGGAGGAGTGGGGGAATCAAACCCGGTTCGCGCACATTTAACCAGGACACCAAACGGGCGTAACCCAGGCGTGCCCCACCCACCCACCCCCCACCCACGGCCGACCCACGGGCGCTGCTGCTCACCCGGCGGGCCTTGCCCCAGAGCTGGTCGAGCTTGGCCACGCGGAACTCGGCGGCGGCGGGAGGGGCGGGGTCGTTGGCCTCGCGCGAGTAGCGTCCGGCCCCCCCGGCCTGGGCGGAGACCAGGAGCCGCGCGGCGGAGCTCAGCGCCAGCCAGGCCCAGAGCGGCGGGGGAAGCAGCGCCCGCATCCTCGCCGTCCTCCTCCTTCTCGTCCTCCTCGCAGTCGGAGCGCGCGCGCCGGCGGACTACGGCGCCCACCGTGCACCGCGCCCCACGTGACCACGGCCCGCCTCCGCCGTCGGTCTGCTCCCCGCCTCTCTCCTCCTCTGAGCGCTTGGGATTGGCTGGCCGTCGCCTCAGCGACTCAAGCGCTCTCTCTGATTGGACAGGGTGCCTTCCAGGGAAGCCGCCACCAGCTAACCGCGCAGGCTCCGTGCCCGCGGCCAGGGCTCCTCTGAAGGGCCGGGGCTCCCTTGTCGTCGCCTAGGCAACCCGGCGCCGCAAGAGAGGGACACGCCCCTTCTCCCTCTCTCTCCTCCCCCCCGCCCCCGAACTGGACCGAACCACTCGAGAGCGGGGGGGGGGGGGGGGGGAGAGGAAAGGGAAACGCGGCCGCCCCTGAGGCGCTGGCTCTCTCCTTGCAGGGGCTTCACGCGACGGGGGAGGAGGAGGAGGGGGGGGCGCTTCCCAACTTGGCGCGTCCGTCCCCCACCCCCCCTTGCCTGCCCGGGGCGCCCTTCCAGGCGGGCCCGCTGCTGCTCTGGGCATCGTCGCTTCTGGCCGCGGGGGCTCCGGGCCGCGAGGGGGTGTGTCCGTGCCAGTGTTCCCTCTAAGCTCGCAACTTTAATGCCAAGAAGAGCTCAAAGAGGAGCGTTCTTGCTCACAAGACTCCACAGCTTAGAGGGAGACCGCTGCTGCTCTGGGCATCGTCGCTTCTGGCCGCGGGGGCTCCGGGCCGCGAGGGGGTGTGTCCGTGCCAGTGTTCCCTCTAAGCTCGCAACTTTAATGCCAAGAAGAGCTCAAAGAGGAGCGTTCTTGCTCACAAGACTCCACAGCTTAG